AAGGTGGTAGGTGTTTCTTGAAGTTTTTTCAAGTTGGTTTAAAGAAAGTGATAAGACTTTATTAGCCTAGAAGTATAAAAACTTTTTGTGAATGTCTTTTTTGTGTGTGATTAGAGGATCAGCAGAAAGAGTGCCCTTAGATATTATTTATATAATTTTTTTTTTTTTTTTTTTTTAAGCTGGCTTGACCAAATTTATTAGCAAGTTTAACTATATAGATACATCTGACCAGAAGAAAACAATGATATACTAGTAAACTAATGATAGGTTTAAAAATCACCTCATGGTTAAGCCATCTTGAAACAAAGGCCTAATCAAAGAACTATTAGAACAATATGAAATTTTAAAGAGGAGGTTGCTATATGTATTGACTCTAATTTATTTAACTTAACCCAAAAGGGAATAAAGAAGGGTTGTGTTTATTACTCTACTTTACCAACTTTATTTAGAGGAGAAAATTGAAGCTAAAGCTATATAAATTTAAACAGGAGTAAAGATTTTGCATTACAAAAAAAGGCACTGGATGGAAGAGAGGAAATGGTTTGATTATGAGTGACGGAGACACGCTACTATTACCATGTTGATACCATAGGCTGGTTACTTTTCGAGGACTTTATCGGTTCAAGGTGTAGTGCCTGTTCCTTTACTGCTTTCAGTCCTCCATGTTATGGTTTTTATTTACTAGTTCTTGACTTTTCCTTCCATACTCTATTTAGTATGTAATTTTTTACTGATGTTTTTCTGGGTGATAATAAGTCAAGGGTTTTGGAGGGCTCTAGGATATAAGAAAAGTGAATAGGTACTAGGATATTAGGGGCCTGTTATCCAACAATTTGTTCTTTTTTATCATTATGATAACTTCGGCTTAGAAAGGAGAATCTTGATACTTTCAGCATGCATCTTGTTGGATTTGATAAATATTATGCTGTTTTTTCCAGAGTATTACCATTAGTAGAAATTGAACTATTTGTCTAATGTCCTATTATGATGTATTTTTCAATCATTTGAGGTTATTTGACTGCATATTGGTGTTGTTGATTAGGTATGAATAATCTTAAGATCTTTTTGATCTTTCAATATTCATGCTAATAAAGAATAGGCATGGCACTTTAAAAGTATCATCCTTGTTTTGTATTCCTTTGAGTCTAGTTTTCTTTCTTCTTTTTTGATAAAGGAGAAGGAAGGGTATATTCTTTCTCTTTTACTTAGTCAAAGATGTAGAAGTTGATAGTGTTTATTATCTATTTGTACTAAGATATAATGATTTATGGTGGATCTCAGGTTCTTATGGAGCTGAAGAAATGCATTCAAACATGTGAAGTGACCAATAAGAGCTTGTTTATTAATCTTTGTTGGATGTGTTTCACATCAACCAATCAGAGTTTGCAAGATCTGTGTTACTCAAAATTTTAGGGTCAAATTGGAGTAGACAAAATTTTTCAAAAAGCTATGAAAAAAATAGTTTTAAAAGGTTACAACGCCAATCAAAGGATAGGAAAGTGAGTCCTATGACTGGGACAGAATTTCTGTTATCTTCATCATAACTGAGAGGTGAATGATACTTCTGCGTTAATCCTTTTTTCTTTAGGAACTTTCTTACCATAAATAGTAAAGGTGAGAGCTGGATTTTGTAGGTCACAAGAGTCCTCCAGTTTATTCAAAGGAAATTGTAAACAAGAAGGGAAGGGGAGATAAGAGAGTTTTCAAGGAACTTTTTGAGTTGGTTTAAAGACAGTGGTAAAACTTTGTTAGTATAGAAGTATTAAAACTTCTTGTGAACATCTTTTTTGTATATGGTCAGAGGATTAGCAAAAAGAGTATGAGTAAATATAAAAAAATAAATAATTAAAGTAAGTATATATAATTTATAAAAATAATAAAATAATAAAATTTTTAAGTTGATCAAGAAATTAATATAATTATAAAAAACATTTATATTTAAAAAATGATTAAAAGATATGAATTTAAAAAAGATCTTAATAAAAGAAATTAAATATAAAATAAAATATTAAAAGTTTTAATTTTTGATAACTTACAAAGTGATTTTGTTGTACTTAAATGGTTAATAATAAAAAATTAATTGTTAAAACGATTTTTTTTAATTTAAAGTTTTAATTATGGCGAATACAAACGAAAATTATAAAAAAAAGTACACAATAATACTAGTTTCAATATTACGAAAATGATTATTTAGTTAGTAATGAAATTAAGTATTTTATTTACAATTAATACTTTTTATGTATTTCAATTACAATTTTACATTTTTAACTTTAACAATATTATCGTTAATACTGAACTTGCATTAAATTTTTGTAATCATTTATGACGATAGCAAGACATTATTATATAATACTATCTAGTAAATTTAGAAAATCACAATGCGAAACTATTCAAAGTGATTCAAATTTATTTACATGACAGAAGAGTTGTTTAAAATATATATACCAATAAACTGGCAACTATATGTAATTGAAATCGAAGACCAGAAAGATTGAACCCTAAAAAGGGAAGATTAACTACAGTGTCAAGGAAAAAATCTTAGAAATCACCATACAACGTCGGGAAAATATGAATGATTAAGAAGACTTCTTTCTTGTCTTCTTATCGGCGGCCTTTCTGGTGGTTTTCTTGGTTTTTTTGGCGGCAGTGGATTTCTTAGATTTCATCGCTGGTTTTTTTAGCGGTGGCTTTCTTTGATGCCGTAGTTTTCCTGGCCGGTTTCTGTAAAGAGAGCACCAGATTTAGTCGCTGACATCATTAATCAGAACATGCGTCAAAAAATAATGACCTTTTCAACTTTTGGTTTTTCTTTCTTCTCTGCCTTTTTTGGTTTTGTCTCTTTCTTTTCAATTTCCTTCTTTTCCTTCTTTACTGGTTCTTTTTTAACAAGTTTGATCGTTCCACTAGGGCCTAACGATGATAATATATAAGTTATTGGTATAAATCACAGAAACCGATTATATTACTTTATTTAAATGAATAAATTACCATTAACGAAAGAAAAAAGTCCTTTTTCTACACCTCTATTAATAGCGAGCTTAAGACGAGTGTTCGTAACGGTGTTATCGGGAAGTTTGAAAGTACTCAAGATATGTTTTTTAATTGCATGACGGCTGCAAAAAAAAAAAAATAATAAACGAATAAATAAAATAAACAAACGCGTAAAATATAACAAATGCATTAAGAATAAAATTATTCTTTACCTGCTTCCTTTTCTTTCCTTCAAAGCGATGATAGCATCTGTAGTGAATGACAGGCGTGAGAAAATACAAAAAAAGAACTCGAATACGCAAGAAATACACTTCGTCTATTCTCCTGATAAATTTTTTTCGTCTTCATATTCCTTTTCAAAGGAGAAAAGAGCTCGAAAGAAACACTATGCAACGTTTCCCAGCAAATTATTACCTCGAATCATATCCTCATATTTTGGATGATTGGAAGGCGCAGCTTTCTTAGACCGAGAGGTTGTACTAGCTCTACCCATTGTTGTTGCAAAATTATTATGATTGATAAATAATATATTACCACGAGAATAACAAACTGGCGGAAAAACAAGTTGGTTCGATAAGACGAGAAAAAAATATTGGACGAAAGCGCCTCAAGCAGGCGTTGTTTATATAAGATCACGAGCCTAAACGGTTGCGTGATTAATCAGGTGCATTAATGCACCGAGTTTGGTTATTGTGATTTGAAAAACGTGTCACCGCGCGCCTAATTTACTTTTGTTTAGATGTTTATATCATTATGCATATTTTAAACAACTGATCAAGAAGTGATATAATTATACTATTATACACAGTTAGTCGAACGCGTTAAAACTTTCACACGAATGAATATTACTTTGCAAAATGTATAAATAAACAATATATTTTTCAATTTTATGTTGACGATATTTACGCGTTACAGTAATTGCATATTTGTAAATATTATAGATATTAAATTAACTAATGAAATAAAGTAATAGTATACAAAAAAAAGCTATTTTAATATAATTTAAATAATAATTGTTATTTTAGAAATAAAAAATTAATATAAAAAATTAATAATAAATAGTATAAGAAGTTTTTTTTATTTTTTTGTTGATAAAGTTTTAAAACAATTGAAAATATAACTTTAAAAAAGTTGTTTCTATTTTTTTTTTTATTTACAAATTTCTTTATTCCAAAAATCTTACTTTTAATAATAAAAAAAAAGTTAAATAATATTTTTGTTATCAATAATAAAAAAGTTTTTAAAAAAATTTTTTTTGATTATATAATATTTAAAAACCTTTCTAATTTTTAAAACAAGTTAATATAAAGATTTTATATAATAAAAGAGTTTATTTTTTCTCTTGATTATAGTTTATTTTTTTAAAACTTTTATTTTTAATATTTTTTGAAAATTTTTTCTTATTTCAATTTGATTTTGAATTTTTAAGTAGTATAATTATTATTATATATAATTAGTTAACATATAATATATTGATTTTTAAGTTGTAAATAAATTTTTATCGATTATATTTATATAATTTAATAATATCAATAATAATTAAAAAAAAAAAAACTTGTTTTAGAATAAACTCTTTCCATTGATCCTCTGACTACACACAAAAAAGATATTCGCAAGAAGTTTTTATACTTTCTTGCTAATAAT